GTGTCGGGGCACGACGGGATTGGGGAGCATCGTCCCACGAAAGGTCTTGCACACGTACACACTCTCATGCCACTGTCGCCCTCGAAGTGGGGTGCAAATCCCTGCTGCTTTTTGCATTGGCGTGGTTTTTAATGATTATTGACTGACGCCATTCTGTTCGGCGTGCCACTTTGATTGGATTGTGTGGGACTGCTCGCCAACGCCATCGGAGAAAGCAGGCCGACTTTTTCACGTATTTAATTGCCATCTTGTGCGCACGTATTTTTTTACATGTTCTGTTGGGCACTCAAACAGCGAGGTGTCCGGAACCATGCGTGCGTGGAATTGTTCCTGCCATGTGGACTGCGGGCAACACCGAGGGGCTGCCACTTTGACTCCGCAGAGTTGTTGTGTCTCTTCGCAGGGTTGGTAAGGAAATTCCATGCAGCCTGATACTGCTGCTGTGTGCTTAAATGCCACTCCATGCGAAGTAAAGTACTTCAGCGAGTGAGGGGGTTGATTGGGTTTGTGTGCACTCTGATTCTGTTTGCCACTTTGTGCGGAGCACGCAAGACTTGAGGGGCGGGAAAATGGAGCGGGGCGATGCATGGCTGCGTCCCGCCCATTGCTCACTGCACGATGGTGCGGTGCACATTGTGGTGCTGACTCTGCGATGTGACTGCGGTCTCCTGCGCGGCAATGGTGGTGGGTGGAGGAGAGTGTTGACCCGCGGCGGGACGGTGGGATCGTGCCTCCTTTTCTCTTTGTTCCTTCCCTTTTGTGAAGGTGTGCGCTTATTTTTTGTGTTAGTGATAGGGAAAACAAACAGACAACGTGAATAAAACAAAATAGAAAAGAGCGATAATATGGCGGTGTTGTTGCCGATTGCACGTTGCGTTGCTGCGGAGGCGGTGTGCCTCGACTGCTTCACCGACAGGCGTTGCAGTGCGGCTGCATGGCGCACCGACCACCGAGCCGTGCGAGCGCCACGCCCAACGCCATTGGGCTGCGGGACGAAGCAGCCGCGATTGTCATTTGGAGCCAGCGGCACCTGCTGGCCGCAGTTGGGCGGTGTGAGTGGGATGCTTCACCACACGGGTGTTGTGATGGCACCTCGAAGCGGCATCCCCGGCGATGGTTCCGACGCTGCAGCTCGCAGAAGAGTGGAGGAAACGAGGCAACCAAAGTGGACCATGAGCAGCAGCGTAGAGGACATTCTGCTGGAGGGAAACACTTTCAGCACCAACATGAGGCTAAATGGTTTACTTTGTAATTATATTGGCGGCAGGGGCGTCGTGGAATTCTATAGGAACATCTATATGCGGGGTTTTTTCTATTAGCCCCAATGAGTTCATTCAAGACGAAGTGTTATTGGGCACAATAAAGACATTGCGGCCATAATACCAAGAGCTGAAAAAAGGAGCGTGAGGATATGCACGTGCTATTGGAGGCTTCAAATAAGTTTGGAGATGAAAGTATTATCACTCTCAGGCAATGGAGGGACTTTGAAAGAAAAGGATACGGTCACTCCTCTTGCAAGGGCACAAATAAACACAGCCTACTCTTATTTGCTGAGAGAAAAGAGGTGGAAGGCAGAAGAAAGGGAAAGGCGAGAGCGACAAGAACTGGGAATTGACGTTCCCACCAGGATTAAGTATGCGGTGTTTAAAGGAAGGGTTCGCGTGAATAAAATGAAGCTGAATGATTTTCTTGCGATGGAATTGGACGGCAGGGGTGCTAGGGACACCAATCGGGATTTCTTGCTGGAGGAGTTTTTAAGAACCCCAAGAAATACATTGAAGATGCGGGAGTATTGAACGAAATACAGGCATCCGATCGTTACAAGAGGATGGAGAGGGCTGTGAGGGGTGAAATGGATATGGAAGAGGATGTACACAAGCTTTACAAAAATGGTGTGGACAATCTACTGAAGTGGTTGGTGGCTACTGCGCAGGTAAAGGCAGGTGTTCATGGCGCTACTAAAAGGTTTTTGGATGCAGCCGCCGAGGAAGCGAGGAACCCAAAGAAGCCGAGCGCACCGATATACCTGGAGGGATTGTACGAGTCTGTGTACAATGCGAGGTGGCATCATGTCGTGGGGGTTCCTGGCGGCGAGGGGACGGGAATGGAGGTGCATGAGGGGAAACCACCGCAGTCATGGACGTACAAGGCAGATGGCGTGAGTCTCGAAAAGGATGACGGTGTGGAGCAATCCGGTGCAGCGCGTCTCAGGCTGATGGTGCTCACCTCGGAGAAGGGATGGCCGTACTCGTGGGAGGAGGATGAATTCACTCGTGACTGCCATGTGAACTGTGAGGTGGAGCGAGTGTGGCAGATCGTCAGGAATGATCTAACCGAATGGTTCAGCCCTCACCGTGGGACTGACTGTACGCCCGAGCGACGTGTGTTGGTTGGGACGCCTGGGATTGGGAAGTCGATGGGTGCTGGCTCGTACCTCCTCTACCAGCTGCTGCACTGCGATGTTGAGAAACTCCAAGTGGTTGCGTAAAGTTTTGGTGGAAGTACGACGTAAGTGTTTGACAAGACCATCCAGACAGTGACGAGATACGTGGGTAGAGGAGCATCCAAGGAATTTTTGTGTGATTTGTGGCGTTTGAAGATGAAAGGGTATGTTGTCTACGATGTGACAGAGAAAGGGACACCGCCAGAAAAAGGTTCTGTGCTTTCTGCTGGATGGGGCATTATTGTGGCGTCACCACTAAACGTGCGCAACTATGATGAATGGGAGACGCAAATAAAAGCCGAGCGAATCATCGTGAAGAGCACCGAAGAGATGGATGTGAAGGCGATGTGTGCATGGATGGAGCGCAATAGGACTACGGATGATCAAGCGGAATACTGGAGGATGCTCAAAGAACACATGTATAAAGTGGGGCCGATTCCACTTTACATCTTTGATGCGAATAAGTTTATTGCACACTCTGCTGCCATTGAGGATGCCTTGGATGGGGTCCAGTTTCGGGATGGTGAAGAGCACTTTACACATGGAGGAGTGAGACTATGGTATTCTGAGGATCCGCCTCAAAAGCTCGTGAGGGTTGTCCGAGCAAGAGGAGAGGTCGGTGCTGAGGTATTTCTCAACGCACCGATATCTGTTTGCCTCGGGCGTCGAATACCGCACTATTTTGGGAAACGTGATGAGTGAGAAAGCTAATATTTTTTTGTTGCTAGTATTGGGGAAGAGGAATACTCTTTTGTGTGAGTGTATGGGAGGGTTTGGCTTGCGCGCATTCGTGTTTGGTGGAGTTTGAGGCTGCATTATTAGAGGACGTTAAGGAGCTGGGGCCACTAGCACGCCGTGGAGGACAGTGCGCGGTGCTGAAGGCGAGCCCTGAAGGGCACCCCGCCGGGTTGTATGTGGAGTGGTTGCAATGGAATACCATACAAATAATGCTATAAAGCATCGGCTGCTGCGCATACTGACGGTTGGAGCCTTTTCGCTGGTGGACGGCTTTTTTTTCTTTGTGAAGTTACCGTGGAAGACGCTGTTTGGGCTGCGGGTGACTACGGCGGGTGAGCATCACACCACCGCCAGCACTGTGCGGCAGTTCACTGAGTGCCTGGCGGCACATTTTAGTGTTTGGGAGGAATTAACTTCGGACTTGTCGTGGGAGATTATTTATGTGCAGCACGCAGACAGCACGCCGTTGAATGACTGACAGAGATGTGATGTTGTTAATTCCGATAATGTGAGCGACGAGAGCCGTGAGATTCGGTGTTCTGGGAGGAAGAGGTGCGCCAGTACCAAGTGTCAATATCATCCGGAGAATTTAGAAGAGACGAAGCTCACCGAAGAGGGGAATAACCGCCGAAATAGGAAAACAAATTAGGGAATGAAAGGGGCGGTTTTGACTTTTGGTGAAAAAATATTGTGAGATTTATATATTTTTGGATGCTTGTGTCTGAGCATGCGGTGCGGGTGCACCAGCATCAGGTGACATCACACATAAATGCCAAAAATGTCCAAAACCATCGAGCATAACAGTGACAGAAGAAATTAGGGAGGGAAAGGGGTTGTTTGGTTTCTGGTGAAAAACATTGGGTGGTTTTCATATAGCATGTTAATTGTGTGTGCATACGAGGCAAAATTGGAGAATTGCCCGGTATGAGGAATCATTGTGTTTGGCGGTGTCGCAGTACTACCGCATTGTCCATTTTCTTCTATTGTGTTCTAAAGCCCATCACGAACAGAAGCACCTTAGCGGGATGGACGAAGGATAAGATCTATTGGAGAAATGGAGCACTCCGTGTGACCGCATGGAGTGAGGCGCCGCGTCATGGATGGATGAGGATCCGCTTCTGCGTGTGGCTCTTTGGGTGATAGCTTGCTCCGTATGCGTTCTGTGCCGGCAGCGGGCTGTGGCCGTATCCGTTGTCTGTGGGATTGAACTGGATGCGGTGGCGGTGTGTCTCTTCTCCTCGTGCATTGTGTGTGACTGCTGGCGGCGTGTGTGTGTGTGAGGGCTGGTGTGGAGTTGCCGGCCAGGGCGAGGGCCTTTGGCGATGCTTTTCCCGCCTGGTGTTTGTTTCTTTTGTGTGTTGTGCTGCTTCTTGCTTTTCTCTTGTCATCCTCTCCTCCTGTGTTCCTGCGCGGAGTGGCCGCATTCTCACGGGCCATGTTGATTGTGAGTGCCTCTTGTCGGCATCCATTCATCTCCCTCCGCCTGTCTGTCTGTCATTCCCTGTTGGGTGTGGCGTGTTGCACCGCGTGAGGGCTGGCCCGCACACACCGACGGCCCGCCGTGACTTGCCGTGTTGCTGCTCTTTTCTGTGGGCGATGGTCCTCTGTGCTGTCCCTTACGGTTTGTCTCGTGCCCCGCTCTCTGCGTGGGTGCTCTGCTTTGCTCTCCGCTGACTTTTCTGGTTTATTACCACTGTTGCTGCTGTACTCTCCACTTCTTGAACACAGGCACGCTAGGAAAGCAAGCAAACAAGCGCTAATCGCTACCGTGAAATTCGAAGGCTCTAAAAGGACCAACAGCACACACACACATATTTATATGCTCTCCCGTGTTGCTGCTGTGAAGGCACCCCGCATACACAACCGTCGCCGCGGGACCGGATCCAGCGGAAGGAGGAGGGAAGGAAGAGAGAGTGAGCCGCAGAGGCCCAACGTGTCCCGGCGTGTGTTTACTTCCGCGGTGCTGCTCCTCCTTTTCTTTTTGGCGTGCGCCGCCGCGGGGCCTGTGCAGGCCCAAAACTATGGAACGAGAGTGGGCGATTCCTATGGAAGACACAGTTTGGAGCAGTTGCAAAGGGGGCATCAGGCCGCAAACCCACCGATCCCTGGCCACATTTTTCGCAATCCCCATCTTGTGAATGTGAACGGGATGCTCCTGGCCATTGCTGGAGCTCAGTTCAATAGAACTGTGGGGAGCGGGAGTGCGTCCATGCAGTTGATGGCACATATCAGCGTTGATGGTGGGAGGACGTGGCGGTCGTACGCGGGGCCAGAAGATCTTGACGCTTTTGCCGCAAGCCCTCACCGGATGTCGTTTCCCTCGTCTTTTGGACCCTTAGGATCGATTTTTGCTTTTGTGGAGGGCTGCGACTTACGGAAGGGAGTCAGACCTCATTATGCCAATAGGTGGGGAGGAAGTGGTGTGGAGTCTGTTATCCATTTTCTGGAGACGGGGCCTAGACGAAGCGGAGGTTTGTCGATGAGTTCCGTCTCTATGAGCATTCGCCTTCCTTATCCCCATAAATCCGGTGACATGATTGGCTTCCTCAACGATGCCAGTACTCCCATCACGAAAATGACGGATGGCACGCTCGTGTTTCCCGTGCAGTTTCTGACAATGGGAGGGGACACTGCGTCCACAATCATGTACATGAATCCCGGTCAACAGCACTGGACCTTTGCGAACAGCGCGACACATGCGGGCTGCATCGAACCAAGTATCCTTGAATGGGAGGCTGGGAAAATTATCATGATCACCTCATGTAAGTACGGTCGCCGAAGGGTGTACGAGTCGACTGACAAGGGGAACACGTGGACGGAGGCTGTGGGGACGCTCTCGCGCGTGTGGAGCAACCCATTGGCAGGTTCTGGGCTCCACATTCAGGGTGGATTCATCACTGCAACCATTGATGGAAAGAAGGTGATCCTCCTCACCCAGCTGGAATATTTCGGGGACAAAGAAAGGAGCGAGATTCACCTGTGGCTAACGGACACGAACCGCATTTACCAGGTTGGCCTGTTACCCACTGGGAATAGCGCGACCTCCAGCTCTCTGTTGTACGCGAATGATAAGCTGTATTGTTTGTACGAGGCCAGTGTTGGAAGCGACTCCGTCCCCTACCCCTTGGATCTGACGCTTGAACTGCAGAGGATAAGGCATGCGCTGTCTACCTGGGCCGTGAAGGACAATGCCTTGAGGCAATGCGGCTTAATGGCCTCGGGCGCCGCGCTGTCAAGAGGGAACTGTTCTGTTCCTATCCCCATGGCTGGGCTTGTGGGCCATTTGGCCGATACGCTCCGTGGGGACAAGTGGGAGGACGAGTACCTCGGGGTGAATGCTGTTGTGAGGGGTGCGGCGAAAAAGGCTCCCAGTGGGTGGACGTTCGAAGGGCATGACGCAGGGGCCGAGTGGCCTGTGGGCAAGCAGTGGCCGAAAATGCCGTTCCACTTTGCAAACTATGGGTTTACTCTTGCGGCAACGGTGTCGATTCACGAGGTGCCGAAGGGCATCACTCCCCTGATGGGCCTGAAGAAAATGGGGAAGACAACACTCCTGGGACTGTCGTACGATAATAATATGGAGTGGAGCGTGGAGCATGAGTTGTTCCCGAAGCATTTTACCGCATGGGAGCTGGACAAAACGTATCACGTGGTGCTCAAAATGCATGACGGTGTGGGCTCCGTGTACGTTGACGGGACTCTCCTTTGGAATATGAGTCTGAGAAATTCGTTCAATGAAGGGCTAGACGCGGTCTCACACTTTTACTTTGGCGCGTACGATGAGCAGTTGAGCAGCGGAAAAATCCATGCGACGGTGGCGAACGTCTTTCTGTACAACCGCCCGTTGAATGAAACTGAGATTGGCGCCCTCAACGCGAACAAAGTCACCATTCCACCTCCGGAAAGGAAGTCGGCGAAAGCGTCGACAGCTACTTCCCCGTCCGTTGAATCTGCCAACGATAGGGTGAACACAAATACACAGCCAACTGTTCCAGCGCCCACTCCTGCCGCACCACAGCCGACGGAACAGGCAACTTTGAACACAAGCAGTGTTCCGAGTGGTGGCGCTCCATCCACACCAGCGGAGCCGAAGTCAGCGGGGCCTAAACCAGCGGAGCCGAAATCAGCGGGGCCTAAACCAGCGGAGCCGAAATCAGCAGAGCCCAAACCAGCGGAGCCGAAATCAGCAGAGCCCAAACCAGCGGAGCCGAAATCGGCAGAGCCCAAACCAGCGGAGCCGAAGTCAGCAGAGCCCAAACCAGCGGAGTCGAAGTCAGCAGAGCCTAAACCAGCGGAGCCGAAATCAGCAGAGCCCAAACCAGCGGAGTCGAAGTCAGCAGAGCCCAAACCAGCGGAGCCGAAGTCAGCAGAGCCCAAACCAGCGGAGCCGAAGTCAGCAGAGCCCAAACCAGCGGAGCCGAAATCAGCGGAGCCCAAACCAGCGGAGCCGAAATCAGCAGAGCCCAAACCAGCGGAGTCGAAATCAGCGGGGCCTAAACCAGCGGAGCCGAAGTCAGCGGAGCCAAAACCAGCGGAGCCGAAATCAGCGGAGCCAAAACCAGCGGAGCCGAAATCGGCAGAGCCCAAACCAGCGGAGCCGAAGTCAGCAGAGCCAAAACCAGCGGAGCCGAATTCAGCGGAGCCAAAACCAGCGGAGCCGAAATCAGCGGAGCCAAAACCAGCGGAGCCGAAATCGGCAGAGCCCAAACCAGCGGAGCCGAAGTCAGCAGAGCCTAAACCAGCGGAGCCGAAATCAGCGGAGCCAAAACCAGCGGAGCCGAAATCAGCGGAGCCAAAACCAGCGGAGCCGAAATCGGCAGAGCCTAAACCAGCGGAGCCGAAGTCAGCAGAGCCTAAACCAGCGGAGCCGAAGTCAGCAGAGCCCAAACCAGCGGAGCCCAACGCCGCGACATCCTCAGCAAGGGAGGGAACTGCGGACCAGCCGGCATCTGCCACATTTTCCGATGGACATGAAGCTGTGACATCTGTTATATTTTCAAGCGCCGCCATTACTGATGTTGGTGCTTCCTCCTCTGATGATGCACAAACGGTGGGGACGGAAGGTGGAGCTGTGATGCAGGCAGATCAACCAACCCAATTCTCTGTGGGCACCCCCGACGCAGCAAATGCAGCAACACATAACGCTGAACGCAAGGGACAAGAAGGGCTCCATCCACAGGTCAAGGAAGCAGAGGCGGCGACACTCAGCAGCAGCCTTTAAAATTCGCCGCAGTGGGATAACAGCGTTGCTGGCACTATGCGTGTGAGCGGACTGCTGCCGCCGCTTCTTCTGCTGGGGCTGTGGGGTTTGCGGCTGCCGTGTGGAGCACTTTTGCCCTTTCATGCACCGACACTCACACACACCGCTAGGAACAAATTTCACCTTGCAAATAACAATTTTTATTATTATTTAGTACTTTCCTTCTTTTGCTTTTGGGGGCAATCACTATGGACGTTTTTTTCTTTTCTACTCTTCCCTCTGTTAATTGTTTCATGCTGCATTCTTCCTGTGAGGGGTGCCGTGTGTTTCCCGCCCAACTGCTCCACTTGCACACCCACCGACACGCTCATGACGACGGCCCTGTGCGCCTCGCCTGCTGCATGCATGAGGAGGGGCCGCGACGAACGGCGCGCTGAGGGAGCCGTGACGTGTGGGCGTGCGACGAGGGCCTGTGGGGCGGAGCACACACTTCTTTCCCTCTTGTTTTTTTTTTGCTGCCAGGGCTGGCAGACACCCGCAGCACCACACAGACAGCCACACCCTGCCGCTTCTTTAAGGATTTTTTTTTGCTTCGCGTGTGCATTTCACGCGCTGGCAGTCCCGTCAGCATTTCTCTCCCTCCTGATGATGTTTTTTTTTCTGCGCTCACTCCCCCGATGGAGAGACGCGACTGCCGTCATGTCTGCGTGCTTCTCTCAGTCCCCACACACACGAGTGACTGAGCTCTGCGGGCCGCGCTCACGCGCCGATGGGAGGGCTGAGGGGAGCAGCAACACGCGGATGATCCCATGAAATATAAACGATGTGCGGACACATGGAGGGTCAGACGGTTGAAAGACACGTAATTATTTAATTTTCTTTGTGGGCTAAATATACAAACAGCTTGGTGGGCCACACGGTAACCGGATGTTTTTTTTTTCCTTTTTTAGGAGTAAGAGCAATGGAGGACGACTCCTTTCTTGCTTTTTTTTTTTTTTTTTATATAATTACTTTGTGCGGGCTGGAGGGATAATGGTGAAAGGGGAAGTTTTTTTTTTTTTTTGGTAATTGTTTTAAATAAATCTTGTATGACTCGCCACTGCTTGGGATGCGGTGCAATCGTGAGTTTGAGCATTCTTGTTATTTCTACCATGCGGCTCTACTGTGCATTTTGTTTTTGCGTTTCTTCACATGCTCCGTTTCTTTTTTTACTTCTTTACCTCTTGTTTCTGCAGGCACGCACAAGCACACGCACACAGAGTGCAAATCACAGTGGATTCGGATGGTTCTTTTGCGGTGCGTGTGGCAGCAGCGTGTGGGTGCTGCTTTTTCCCGTGGGCATGAAGCGAAGGGAGGAGAGAGGCAGCGCGCAGGGCGAGTGTCTCTTCCTGATGGTGTGGGGGCGCTGCGTTGTGACCGCATTGAGTGAGGCGCCGCGTCGTGGATGGATGAGGAATTGCTTCTGCGTGTGGCTCTTTGGGTGATTGCTTGCTCCGTGTGCGTTGTGTTTGTTGGCAGCGGGGCTGTGGCCGTATGCCGTTGGCCGTGGGATTGAACTGGAGGCGGTGGCGGTGTGTCCCTTCTCTTCCCCTCCCATGCGCAGTCTGGCGGCGTTGTCACTGCCTGTGCGTTGGGCTCCGCCGTGACTCGCCGTGTTGCTGCTCTTTTCGCTGGGCCACGGTCCTCCGTGTCGTTCCTTCCGGATTGTCTCGTGTCCTGCACTTTGTGTGGGTGATGTGCTTCGCACCCCAGTCGCGTGTCTGATGTATGGCTGCTGTTGCTTTCTTTTCCACCTCACGCACGCAGGCACGCTAGGGAGGAAAACAAGCGCGAATCGCTACTGTGCACTCCGAAAGGACCAACAGCACACACACCGCCCACACACACATATTTATATGCTCTCACGTGTTGCTGCAGTGAAGACACCCCGCACACACAACCGTCGCCGCGTGACCGGATCCAGCGGAAGGAGGAGGGAAGGAAGAGAGAGTGAGCCGCGGAGGCCCAACATGTCCCGGCATCTCTTCTGTTCTGCGGTGCCGCTCCTCCTTGTTGTGATGTGGATGTGCTGCAACACTTGTGGCCCCACAGCCGCTGAGGACAGCAATTCAGGGGATGTGCGGCTGCCGCAACGGGTGGGTCTCTTTTTGCCGCAGAAGACGTCGGTGCTGCCGAAAGAGGGGGCGGGTCCGGGTGATGTGAGGGATGCATTTGTCTCACCCTCTATTGTCAGTGCTGGAGGAGTAATTGTTGCTCTTGCTGAGGGTCGGAAGTGGCATATTGCACCGCAGCATCCAGCCGCCAAAACCCTTGCGATTGATATTGTTGCGGGGCACCTCAACGCTACGGAGCCGTGGCCGTCCATGGTCGCCTATATCACCTCCAGTAAGTGGAATGCACACACCGTCTTTGACAGAGAAACCCCAAAGGATGGGTTGGGCATGGCGACTCTACCCACGTCACTTTCCAAGGGCAACGAGCTGTTCCTTCTTGTGGGAAGCTCTTACTTTGTTTTTGATGCTACTACGCAGCATTGGGTTGAAGGTGGAGGGGACATCCATTTGGTTAAGGGTGAGGTCACGCCGTCCACGGAAGACGAGCCGAGTAAACGGGTCCGATGGGGCAGACCTCAATCGCTGTTGGGGCTGATCACCGAACGTACCAAACAACTTGGCCTGCACCACGTTTCCGGTGCTGGTGGCTCAGGCATTGTGCTTGAGAGGGTCTGGTTTGTGTTTCCCCTGACGGCGTTAAAAGGCGAAGAAAAAACCGTCTTTACTATTTATTCGGTGAATGGCGGCAGCAGCTGGGACGTCGGCACAGGCACGCCTCCTGGGTACTGCATGGACCCTCTTATTGCCGAATGGGAGGAAAAACTTCTCATTGTTGTTTCTTGTACGGGTGGCCGCAAAGTGTTTCAGGCGGGTGACATGTGGGACACATGGACGGAGACTCCCGGGGTACTGTCACGCTTGTGGACCAGCGAGCCAAACCCTCGGGGGCTAAATTTTGCGTTGGGAGATCTCCTCACTCCGAACTTTGGCATAAGGAGTCTCATGCTGTACACTCAGAAAGGGTTTCCCCAGGGGAAGGCAAAGCCAATGCGCTCTACCTTTGGATCACGGATAATAGCCGCGCGCGTCTTGTTGGCCCAATTTCTATGGATGATGATGGGGAGAGGACGGTTGCGAACAGACTGCTGCACTCAAATAATATGCTGTACCTTCTGCATGAGAGAAGAGCTCAAAGTACCGATGGCATTTTTCTTTCCCCACTGAAGGAGGAGCTCGACACAATTATGTCCATCGCGAATAGTTGGGCAATGATGGACATTTTCTTTTCCGGGTTGTCTATACCCACGGATGGGCTGGTTGCTTCTTTGTCCGATTTAGCCACTCCTGAAACGTGGATCGACATGTACCACTGCGTGAATGCAACGGTGACAAATGCCGAGATGACCCCACATGGCTTTAGGTTTACGGGGCCTGGGTCCAAGGCGGTCTGGCCCGTGAACAGGGGGGAATTGAACAGGCAGTACACCTTTGTGGATTACAACTTCTCCCTTGTGGCGACGGCGGTCATCGAGAGGGTGCCCGCGGGCAGCGTCCCTCTGCTGGGTGTGAAATTGGAGCATTCTAATCGCAGGGGGTTCATTGGGCTGTCTTGCACCGCGGAGGGGAAGTGGGAGGTGTCGTTAGACGGCAATATAACGACATCCAGCAGCAATTGGGAGCCGGGGAGAGAATACCAGGTGGCGATCATGCTGCGGGACAACAGAGGCTCCGTGTACGTGGATGGCGTTGTGGTGGCGAGCTCCGAGACGATGCCAACTCTTGAGACGCGGTTTATTCAACTCTCGGAGTTCTACTTTGGGGGCGACGAAGGTGACCGAGGCAGCAGCGTGGAGGTGAAGAACGTTTTGCTGTACAAGCGCATATTAACTGCTGCCGAGCTAAGAACCATACAATGGAGTGCCTCCTCCACAAGTGGAAGTGGACCCGATACCTCGATGCGTGGGAGTATGCCTTGGCTGCCTTGGCTGCTGCTGCTGCTGGGGCTGTGGGGCTTTGCGGCCCTTTACGGAGTGTAACAGAGTGGGGCCATTGCCACGAGCAGGGACACATGCATCTTTACGCGCACCCTCTCTGAATTACTTGGCGTATCACGTGGATGCTGTTGATTTTATTTTATGCTTCTTTTTTTTTGTGCGAGACGATATATTTTTTTATTGAGCGTTTTTTTATTTTTATTTACTTTTATTTTTGTGCCACCGCCGCGGTTTTCTTTATTTTTTATTTTATTTTCTTTTTTTGTTTATTTATTTTGTGGTGGAGCCTTCTGGGGGTGGCGGGGTCCATTCACTGTTTCCGTCTACCGACCACCGACGCTCTTGGCATTTCCCGCCACGCCGGTGGCGCCGGTGGAAAAATAAAATACAAGAAATTGTCATCAACAGTAAAAGAGACGCACGGAGCGTCTCCAGTGAAACATAAATGACGCGTGGACGCCGGGGGGATGAAGCGACGGGGACGAATATGTCTTATTTCTAAATCTCCTGCAGGAAACCAAAGAAAAAAGAGACAACAACAAAAACAGAAATAACGCTTTGAAGCACCAGAAAAAAGATGTTCTGCGGAAAAGCTGTTTGATTGATTCATTTGTTTGTGCTTCTGTGTGTGCGGGAAAAAATAACGGTTTCACGAAGAGCGTTCTCCTTTGAAAAAAAAAAAAAAAATGGAAAATAAATCTCCTGTCATTTCCCACCGCTTGGGCTGCATTGCCGTCTTGGGTCCCGTCAGGCCTCTTCTTCTTGTGTTTTTTTTTTGTCCTGCATCTCTGCTGTGTTCTTTTGTTTTGTGGCTTCACGTGTTTTACTCCTCTCTTCCTTTGCGTGCTTGCAGGCACACACGAACACACGCACGCGGTGTACGTACTGCAGTGCACCTGGATGGTCTTTTAGTGCTCTGTGCCGGCAGTCGCATGCGGGTGCTGCTTTTCTTCCGTGACCGTCGCAGGAGGAGCGACGGCGGGGGAGAGCGGCGCGATCGTGTTTTGTTGTGGGCGTGGTGCACTGCGTGTGGTCGCCTGGAATGAGGCGCCGTGCCCCATTCACTGCGGAGTGACAATGCTGAGCCGCTTGCTGCGTGCCCATGATCTCATGGGACATGGCGTGACACCGTCGGAGGGCCTCGTGACGCGGTTGCACTCGCCAAGAGGCGGAAGAAGAAGCCGGACCCGCTGGACGAGCCGCTGTCCAGCCAGTTGTTGCTGGACGCGTTGGAGCGCGAGTACAGCAGCCCGGCCACTCTTGCGGTTGCTGCGCCGCACTTCTTCCAGCACTACGACGCCACCGGCTACACGGCGTTGCGGTGCTGCCACGAGCACAGGGAGGACAATGGGATGCGGTTCATGGCGGCGTGCCTGATTGGCGGATCTGTGGTTGTACGCCACTCCCGTCGTACGAGGTGCCGGTGCGTGGCGGTGTGACTCGTCTCTCTCTTCGCCTCCGCTCTGCGTTGGCGGGGAGTTGGTTTGTGCTGTAGGCTGCACGCGAGCGACAGGAGTGATGGCGATGATGACTTGCCGTGTGCCGCTGGTGTGTGCCCTCTGCGGCTCCGACTGGTTTGTCTCTCGTCGCCGGCATCTGTCTGCTTCCCGGAGGAGGAATGGCTGTCGGTGATGCGACTTTCAGCCTTGGTGTGGCCCACACGGAGCATTGGAGACGCAGCTGCGAGTGGCGTTCCGTGGCGCGGGTGGCCGCCCTGACGTGCTGCCAGGGTGCGGTGCCTCGCGGGGAGGGAGGACGGGAGCCCGCCGTGCGTCCCCTCGACGTGCTGCGGGCGTGATGTTGGCAGCGTGCGTCCGGTGAGTGGGGTGTTGTTGAGGGTGGCTGGGACGAGTGCGGAGCGATTCCTGCCCACCAGCTGCAGGTGCCGACGTGCCTCTCCCGCTGTGTATTTGATGGCGGGGGATTCCCCCGCTGTGCGAGGTGATGTGCGCCGGCGGCGGAGCGGGTGTGATGGAGGAGACAACGGTGAAATGGCTGGCGGTGGTAGCGCGTGGGTGCTGCGGAGGGCGGCTGTGGCCTTTTGCCTCCCGCTGGTTATTTTATGTGTGGGCGTCGCCTGGTGTATGCTGCCGCGTGGCAGAAGCACCCGCCGTGGCTCCTGCTGGTGGTGTGACCGTCGCTGTGTGTTCCCGGTGCAGTCATCTTCCTTCTGCTGTTCCGTGTGTCTGTGTGCGTGAGTTGTTGTTGTTGGGAGTGACTGCGGCGGGGATGGTGATGCCACTCAAAGTGTGGATGGGTGGCGGTGCTTGCTGTCTCACCTCTTTGCTTGGCTTGTTTTCTCTTCTCTCTCCGCCTCGCACACACACGCTAGGAAGGAAGTTACGACTAAACGCTAATCGCCACTGTGAAATTCGAAGGCACTGAAAGGACCAACAACAGCACACACACCGCCCACACACACATATTTCTATGCTCTCACTTGTTGCTGCTGTAATGGCACCCCGCACACACAACCGTCGCCGCGTGACCGGATCCACCGGAAGGAGGAGGGAAGGAAGAGAGAGTGAGCGGCAGAGGCCCAACATGTCCCGGCGTGTGTTTACTTCCGCGGTGCTGCTTCTACTTGCCGTGATGATGTGCTTCGGCACTGATGGGGCTGCGCACGCTGAGCAGGCAGGGGCCGGTTTTGATCCGTTCACAGGGACGACGTCGATATCATTTGCTAATTGGAGGGAGTTTAAAGAGGACGGCGGCGAAATCACCTCGCTCCGTGTTCCTGGCCTCGTTAAAGTGGGTGATGATGTATTTGCCGTTGCTGAAGCGCAGTGCGGGGAAAGGAATGGAGCCGACAGCTGTGCTGGGATTGTGTCAAAGCACCTGAATATAAGTGATGACTTAATGGATATTTCGACGTCGGATATAAGTTTGTTTCGCATGCAACTTGTGGGCACCGCCGCGAATAATTTTGGGACAACGGAATTGTTGCGGCCAACGACACTTGTAATTGGGGACAGTGTCTACATGCTCCTGGGAAACTACAGTCGTAAAAAGCCGCAGGTTGTAGGTAAGAATGAGCGGGGCCTTTTGCTCGTGAAGGGAACTGTCACGGTGGATGGTGGAAAAAACAAGAAACTTGTGTGGAATGAGACCCATGTGGTGAACCCTCAACGAAAAGGAGAATCACTTTTATTGACCGAGTTTTTGGGTGGCGGAGGCTCGGGTGCTGTGATGGGTGACGGCACGCTTGTGTTTCCCATGCAGGCCAAAGGCAAGGATGGAACGAGCTTTTTACTGTCCATGAGTTTTGACCCGTCAGACAAAAAATGGGAGCTTTCATCCGAGACGCCTGGTAAGGGCTGCAGGGATCCAACCCTGGTGAGGTGGGAAGAATACGAATATGGCGAAAGGCTCTTCATGATGGCTCATTGTGCTGGAGGCTACTATGACGTTTACAAGTCCACTCCGCATGGAGTCAATTGGTATACGTCGGGTGAGCCAATTACCCGCGTGTGGGGCAGCTCACACAATCGAAAGGGGTACGGTGTCCAGAGTGGATCCACCACCGCAATCATTGAGGAAAAGGAGGTGATGCTCATCACTGCGCCGGTGTATGCGAAGGAGGACAATGGAAACGGTCGGCTTCATCTTTGGGTGACGGACAAGGCACGTGTGTATGATGTTGGGCCGATATCCCGTGAAGATGATGACGCTGCCGCCAGCTCCCTGTTGATGAAAGGAAAGGATAATAAGGAGTTGATTTCACTGTACGAGAACAAGAAGAAGGACGGAACATACAGTCTTGTTGCTGTGCATCTGACCGAGAAACTGGAGCGGGTAAAGGAAGTGGTGAAGACATGGAAGGATTTGGACAGCGCCTTGCAATCCTGCAGTTCCGGTTCCAGCGGCACTCTCGACTTGCCAAAGAAGGGTATGTGCAATGGTCCTGTTCCCACTGACGAGCTTGTTGGCTTCTTGTCTGGTAACTCAACTGGGACCGAGTGGCGGGACGAGTACCTCGGCGTGAATGCCATTGTCCATGGCCCAGCGGAAAAAAGGATAGGGGTTCCCAATGGATTGACGTTCAAAGAGGCTGGATCATGGGCGGAGTGGCCTGTTGGCAAATTGGGGCAGACTGTGCCGTACTACTTTGCGAACAACAAGTTCACTCTTGTGGCGACGGTGTCCATCCACGAGGTGCCGAAGGAAGACAGCAGACCCATTCCTTTGATTGGCGTGAGGATGAATGACACCAGCAGCACGGTGCTCTTTGGTCTGTCATACACCCACGACAAGAAGTGGCTGGCCATAACAGAGGATGCTGATGATCCGGAGGATGTTGATTATATTGTTAAATGGGATCCAAACAAGACGTATCAGGTGGTACTGCGAATGACTCTTGATGAATGGACTGTCTTTGTGGATCAGAGGGAAATTGACCGCAAGAGCTATAATAAGCATCTGTTCGACTTGCACAGGATCTCACACTTCTACATCGGTGGGGACAGTAAGGACGAAAGTGCAACGGGCGGCCACGTGACGGTTACCAACGTCATGCTGTACAATGAGAGACTCTTAAGTGATAAGCTGTATGAACTCAATGCCAGCAAAGTCAATATTCCATCACTGGGTGTTGAGAAACAACCCACAGGTCCGGTGATCAGCACAGGCCTCCCGGTTGCTTCCGAGTCAAAGAGTGAAGAAAGCACCGCCAGCTATGCGAAATTGAATGAGGATGATCCTGAAAAACAACGACGAAAAAACGGCGTCGATGATCCGGTGCCTGCAGCGCCCCCTTCCACGGTTGTCGCGGGATCATCTGTTTCCGAACCCGCCATCGCAGCGGAGAGCGCAGGGAATGATCGTCCAGATGACAATGCCCAGTTTCACCAGGGCAAAACGGCCCAGCAAGCCACGCTGAGTGAAGAGAATAAATCGGTGCAACGGGGTTCAGACTTGCAGCCACAAGACCCACAGCCAGCGGAATTAACGGAGGTCGCTGATGTTGAAGGATCCTCTGAAGGTTATGGCACACAACAGCCAGTGGAGGAGGAAGGAACGAATGGCAGGGGTGGCGGATCAACGTCTTCAGTGGGTGCATCATCGGATATGGATACGGCCACCGAAACAGTTGACAGTGAGCACCAAGTGCAACAAAGCACTGAGCCTTCCGCTGAAAATGACGACGTGCGGTCCACTGGAACCGGAACCACTGGCGCGGAGGAAAGCCTCAGCCTCGAGGCGAGGGACGGAAGTTCCGAGAGAACAATGAGCTCAGACAGCAGCCTCACCCCTTCAAAGAGTGACGCCGAACCGACATCCGCGGAGGACACCGACAACATCTCTCGGACTGAGGAGGCTGAATTTCTTGTTGAAAACGGCGAGGAGGCGCCACAGACGGTTGAAACCGCATCGGGTAATACAAACACCACGCCTGGGGAAACCGAGATCCCATCGGAGTCCAACGCAACAACACCCTCGGACACTGACATTTTGCTTGAGAACGGGCATTTGGGCGAGTTGGCGGCCATGTATCTAATTGGTGACAGCACCGTGCATGGGTGTGTGTCTCGGGTGCTGTTGCTGCTGCTTCTGGGGCTGTGGGGCACTGCGGCTCTCTGTTGAATGAATTGGAAAGAGCAAAGTTGCGAAATTCTGTGGAGCAACAACTGAGCAGCATCCCAGCATTACCCAATGGATTTTGTTAATTCCACTTTTTCTTTTCTTTTTTTTTCCTTGTTTTTGTTTTCTTTTTTGCAAATCACTTCCCTTCTTTTGCTTGTTGCTTTAGGGCAATCACTATGGACGTTTTCTTCTTTTCTACTCTTCCCTCTTTTAATTGCTTCTTGCTGCACTCTTCCTGTGAGGGGTGCCGTGTGTTTCCCGCCCAACTGCTCCACTCGCACACCCACCGACACGCTCATGACGACGGCCCTGTGCGCCTCGCCTGCTGCACGCATGAGGAGGGGCCGCGACGAACGGCGCGCTGAGGGAGCCGTGACGTGTGGGCGTGCGACGAGGGCCGGTGGGGCGGAGCACACACTTCTTTCCCTCTTGTTTTGTTTTCTTTTTTGCGGCCAGGGCTGGCAGACACCCGCAGCACCACACACACAGCCACACCCTGCCGCCGTGTTTTCTTGTTTTTTTTTTTTTGCTTTTCTTGTTTATTTCACGCGCTGGCAGTCCCGTCAGCATTTCTCTCCCTCCTGATGATTTTTTTTTTGCTTTGCTCACTCTCCCGATGGAGTGACGCGACTGCCGTCATGTCTGCGTGCTTCTCTCAGTCCCCACACACACGAGTGACTGTGCTTTGCGGGCCGCACTCACGCGCCGATGGGAGGGCTGAGGGGAGCAGCAACACGCGGATGATCCCATGAAATATAAACGATGTGCGGAAACGCAGAGGGTCAGACGGTTGAAAGACATTTAAATATCTTTTAATTTTATTTTCGGACAAAATATGCAGACAATTTCTGGAGCAACCAGGTGGATTTTTTTTTTGTGTGGTTTTTTTTTTCTTTTTTTCTTTTTTATTATTTGGATGTAGCCATAATAGAGGACGACTTTTTTTATTTTTATATAATTATTTTGTGCGAGGGGGGTTAATATATGATGAAAGGGAATTGTTTTTTCTAATTATTTTAAATAAATCTTGTATGAGTTGTCGCTGCTTTGTCTGCAGTGCAATATCATGAGCTTGAGCAGTCCTGTTATTTCTGCCATTCACTTCTGCTGTACATTTTTTGTTTGTGCGTCCCTTCACACGCTCTGCTCCTGTTTTTACTTCTTTGCCTCGTGTTTCTGCAGGCAAAAACACAACGACACAAAATGCACATTGCAGTGGATTTGGATGCTTCTTTTTTAGTGTGTGCTGGCGGTTGCGGGTGGCTGCCGCCTCCTTCTGTGGGCATGAAGCGAGGGGAGGAGAGAAGGAGCGCACGGCGAGTCACTTTTCCTGCAGGCGTGATGCACCACCTATTACCGCCTTGAGTCGGGTACCAAATCTCATTGTGGGTGGAATGGCTGTAAATTTTGTCGCCGCGTCAAGGATGGATAAGGAATCGCTTCCGCGTGTGTCTCTTTGGGTGATTGCTCGCTCCGTGTGCGTTGTGTGTTGGCTGCGGGGCTGTGGCCGTATGCCGTTGGCCGTGGGATTGAACTGGAGGTGGTGGCGGTGTGTCACTTCTCGTTCTTGTCCATTGGTGGTTGATTGCTGGCGGTGTGTGCGTTTGTTGTGTGGAGGACCGAATCTTTACTCCCGCGGACTGACAGCACTGCGATGGTGTGTGTGTGTGTGTGTGAGGGCTGGTGTGGAGTTGCCGGCCAGTATGAGGGCCTTGGCGGTGCTTTTCCCGCCTGTCGTTTGTTTCTTTTGTGTTTTATGCTGATTCTTGCTTTTTTCTCCTCTCACCATTTTCTCCTGTGTTCCTGCGTGGAGTGGCCGCATTCTCACGGGCCATTTTGATTGTGAGTGCCTCTTGGCGGCATCCATTCATCTCTCTCCGCCTGTCTGTCTGTCATTCCCTGTTGGGTGTGGCGTGTTGCACCGCGTGAGGGCTGGCCCGCACACACCGACGGCCCGCCGTGACGCCCGCGATGGCCGGTGCGGAGTGGCGGTGCTCGCTGTCTCACCTTTTTTACTTGGCTTGTTTTCCCTTTTCCCTCTACTTCTTGAACACAGGCACGCTAGGAAAGCAAGCAAACGAACACGAATCGCTACTGTGAAATTCGAAGGCTCTGAAAGGACCAACAGCACACACACCGCCCACACACACATATTTATATGCTCTCACGTGTTGCTGCTGTGAAGGCACCCCGCACACACAACCGTCGCCGCGTGACCGGATCCGCCGGAAGGAGGAGGGAAGGAAGAGAGAGTGAGCGGCAGAGGCCCAACATGTCCCGGCATTTGTTTAATTTCGCGATTCTGCTCCTCGTCACGACGATGTGCTGCGCCACCTGTGGAGCTACGCCTGCAAAGGAGAATGATGGCAACAGTGATTTAAGAAGTGTTCATGAGTTGCAGTGGGTCGATCTATTTTTGCCGAATCAGACGCAGGTTGTACCGAAAGGTGGAGGTACTCCAGGGACGAAGCGGGATGCATTTGTTTCACCCTCTCTCGTCAGTGCTGGTGGAGTAATTGCTGCTTTTGCCAGAGGCAACATAAATGCCCAATATGCCGCTGATGGTAAAGTAATTAAGCCAATTTCTTCTGATGTTGTTGCGGAGTACATCGACTCTTCGTGGGATTGGTCCACTCTTGTTGACAAGGTGAGTGAAAGTACATCGAAGGCACACACTGTGCTTGGTGCAGCGGATGGAACGGATAATCGTGTGGGTGTTTGTTACCGCCCCACAACAACAACGAAGGGCAATAAGGTGTTTCTTCTTGCGGGAAGCCTTGAGTTGCTCAATGAAAGTGGGAAGTGGAAACGGGACAGCCTGGAACTAAAACTGGTTGTGGGTGATGTCACGAAGCCTACGGACAGCGAGCAGAGTGGATGGATCACATGGGGCACACCCACATCGTTAAGCCAGACTACCTTAAAGACACCCAAAGCTGGATTGAAGGATTTTGCTTCTTCTGGTGGCTCAGGTGTTCTGATGGAGGGTGGCACGCTTGTGTTTCCACTGATGGCGCAGAGCGGAAATGGTGTCGTTTACTCCATGATCATTTACTCGACGGACAACGGTGAAAAATGGTCGCTCTCTGAGGGCATGTCCCCTGTGGGATGCCTTAACCTCCGCGTCACCGAATGGGAGGGATCACTTCTCATGATTGTTGATTGCGAGAATGGCCAGAGGGTGTACGAGTCGCGTGACATGGGGACAACGTGGACGGGAACCATCGGGACACTCCCAGGCGTGTGGACCAAGTCAAAACCAGAAGTCGTTTTGGATCTGAGCTTGCGTGTGGATGCACTCATCACCGCGACCATTGAGGGCAGGAAGGTCATGCTGTACACTCAGAGAGGGAACGCCTCGGTGGAGAATAAGGCCAATCCGCTCTACATTTGGGTCACGGACAACAACCGCTCGTTTTGTGTTGGACCGGTTTCTATGGAGGATGGTGTGAATGGGGAGCTCGCCAGCAACCTGCTGTACTCGGATGGTAATTTGCATCTTTTACAACGGAGGGGCGATTATGAAAACAGTGTCATCTCACTCTCCCGCCTGACGGAGGAACTGAGTACAATCGAGTCCGTGCTCAGTACCTGGGCAAAAAAGGACGCCTTCTTCTCCAGCCTTTCTATACCCACGGCGGGTCTGGTGGCAGTTTTATCCGATGCGGCTAGCGGTGACACGTGGATCGACGATTACCTTTGCCTGAATGCGACGGTGACGAACGCAAAGAAGGTCAAGGATGGATTTCAATTGACGGAGCCTAACTCCGGGGTAACGTGGCCTGTGAACATTCCGGATGATAAAGTGCGTCATGTGTTTTTGAGCCACAACTTCACACTTTTGGCGTCGGTGACCATCCAAAAGGTTCCGAGCAAGAACACTCCTCTACTGGGTGCGATGTTGGGGGACACTAATTCCCCGCTTACCATGGGAATCTTGTATACCGCGGATAACAAGTGGGTGACGATGTTCAACGACAAGACAACAGAAAGTGGCACTTGGGAGTCGGGGAAAGAATACCAAGTGGCACTCATGCTGCAAGGCAAAATGGCCTTTGTGTACATTGATGGTCAGTCACTGGGGGAAGAGGAGACGCTGTTAACAGGTGAGAAGCCACTTGAGCTTGTAAGTTTTTGCTTTGGCGCGTGCGAAATGCACAACTCTCCTGTGACGGTGAAGAACGTCTTTCTGTACAACCGCCCACTGAGTGTTGATGAACTAAGAATGGTCAAGAAAAGTGACGGCTCCATGCATGGGGGCGTGTCGCGGGCGCTGCTGCTGCTGATGCTGTTGGGGATGTGGGGCATTGCGGCCCTTTACTGAGAAATTGCAGTGAGGACTTACTGTCACCGGCGTGAGCATCTGTGCCTCTCCACGCACCCTCCGAAGTAATTGCCAACTATTTTGTGGATGCACCGTTTATTTTATGTATTTTTATTTTGGGTTTGAATACCCTTTTCCCCCATGAAAGTCGTTATGTAAGGGCGTGCTCCCCCTCCGGGGACTGCACCGCTGGTTATATGTTTTTGTTCTTCTCTTTCATTATATATACATATATCTGTCTTCTCCTATATGGTGCAATTTTCTGATAACGGCGGATTGTATTTAATGTTTCCGCCTGCCGATGATAAGTGCACTCGGCATTGAGCGCCACGACGATGGCGGAGTGGAAAAAAAAAGGAGTTGGGATGCAAAAAAAAAAAAAAAAAACGCACTGAGCGCCCCAATGAAATTTGGGTGTTGTGTAGACACCATAGGGCTGAACGGTCGAAGCAAATGTGTTTTTACTTTTGCATGAATAATGTACAAGCAGTCTTTTTTTTTTGCCGCGTCACGATGGGATTTTTTTTTTTTTTAGTTCTTTAATGGGTGTGCAAGGTTTTTTAAGGGGGTTTTAGAAAATTTCTAACTTATTTTTATTTTAGGAAAATTATTGTGGGTTGCCGCTGGTTAGGCTGCCGTGCCATCTCGAGCCTCAGCGGCTTTCATCCTCCCTTTT